CGATTATTGTCTCCCCCTCCCGCTGCCTCGTCTTTTCCTACAGCGATCCTTTTAAGTGAGCGATCAGCTGTTCATTTTAATGTTGTTCATTTACGTAGTTAATTTCATATAACTTACAGACAGATTCAGTGGCACAAAAAKATTTACTTTTGAAATTATTTCAGCATCAGTCRGTGTTTCTCTTCGTCTCTTCATTTGAATCATAATTAACCATTAAACTGCTGGAAGAAGTGAGACTCACGTGTCTTACTGTGTATGTCTGATCAGGAAATCTTTGATCCACCTGATGGGTCTGGTAAACAAACCGTGAACGTGCATTAATCCTAAACCATTGCTTGAATGAGCCGCCTTGATTGAGTGTGGCTTGGTGTTAGAGCAACAGATTGCAACTTTTGACAAGATGAAGGTTTGTTCAAGCTCAGCTTACAGCTCATATCCTGAATTTAGAAATCTGACTTTTGTGAAACGAGCTCCTGGTTCCCTGCCTTCCCCCAAAGGCTGGGACAGGCTCCAGCCCCCACCCTGACTCTGATTAGGAACAAGGAGGACAGAATGGATGGAGTATTTCTTGTTATAGCAGGAAACAGACATTTAATTATAAAACAACCCTATGGGAGGGTCTGTGTTGGTGATTAAAAGAGTAATTACATTGATGAGGTAATACTTGGTTAGTACAAAAGACTACAAAGTGCCACAGCTTCACCTGTAACATCTTCTTTGGAAAAAAGTAGCTTGCAAAGTTGTAGCACCAGTGATACAAAAAAAAAAAACAATAATAAAATAAAGCTCAGGTAGTTTTTTTATCGCACCTGTGACAGCCCAGTTTAGGGTCACGGGAAGTCCTTCAGCTGGACAGGTCACCAGTCCATCACAGGAACTAAGACACAAACAATTCTTTAGCTTCTTCTCTATATAAGGACAGTGTTAGTGGTATTATTACAGKACATTGAAACATTTCTAGCCTAGGCTAATTTGCAGTGCACCTCCCTACATCATGCATACAAACACACACACACACACACCTGTATTGGTGACAGACAGTTATATGAATAACCTAACACACACGTTGTTGGACTTGGAAGAAATCCTGAGTAACCAGAGAAAACTTTAAGGACAACCAAAAGTCATTTGAAGGAAAATGTGGGGTCTATTGTGCTGGAGATCAAACCAGCTACAGCTCTTTTACGTAAGATATTTATATTTATCTACAATGTGGGGAAAATGTTCATTTTTCTTTCTCCACACTTAAATGAAGCAGGTAAACATTGTGTTTGTTTTCAGGTTCAGATCTGTAAGCGCAGTGTGGAGGTGATGGACGCAGTCCGTCGTGGAGCACAGCTGGCTATAGACGAGTGTCAGTTTCAGTTTCGTAATCGTCGATGGAACTGCTCCACTTTAGAAACGATGCCTGTGTTTGGCAAAGTGGTGACTCATGGTAAGATTAAATGCTGCAGAAACTACACAACAGACAAGTGAAACTCATTTAGAAGACTTGAACCTGTTGCCTCTGCTCCTTCATAAATCACCTGTTGAGCCGGCCACAGAAAGTATTTAAATACTGTACTTACAGCGGGTAAAATAAGTATTGAACACGTCACCATTTTTCTCAGTAAATATATTACTAGAGGTGCTAATGACATGAAATTTTCACCAGAT